ATAGCAAAAAAAGCTTTTTCGGTGTTCGGCCGAATAAGCGAAAAGACAGAATAAACTGTACCGAACAATGACGTGACGCGAACAAATAGCAACAAGAGTAGAGTGAGAGGCGCAATGCAACAAACATGTCAGCAGTGTGGAAGCATTTAAAACTGTCCGAGAAAGACGCAAAAATCATTTCAAGCACCGACAGCGAGAGACTGTTTAGTACTGCATCACATGTCTTCGATGAGAAGAGGACGGGGTGATTGTTGCTGGTTACTGTATGATGATTGAAATCGCGAAATGGCCTTAAACAATTAGTAAATAAACTGCAGAACGTTATGTTTTCTAATACACGCACGAATTGCATGTATTCTGACAGCGCTGCAAGAGCTCGCGGTGCTATCTGTTCGTTAACCAGGGTTCAAAGTCCAAAGCGCGAGGAAAATCTGCGCTGAAACAGTGTTACTCCTCAGTTGCTCAGTCACATTTTTATGATTTTTTTTACAAGGCACGTGACAATGTGATACGTGCGACATATTCTTAATGAGACTCATTTATAAATCTGCTGTGGTCTTCCTGTGCGTTTCCGCCAAAATAAAAGTTGAGAAAAAGCAAGAACTCTATCAACATTCATAAACGTTAGTATTGTAATTTTACTGTTCTGTAAAATAAAATAAAAAGTAAGACAATAATAATGATAATAATTTCAACAGCTCTGTTAATGCATTTATTATAACATTCACACATACTGTAGTGTTCAAACTGGGATCTGTAATATTTTCTAATGTTTTAAAAGAAGGCTCTTCTGCTCAGGAAGGCTGCTTTTATTTGTATAGTAAAAAATACATACCTGATTCAAGAAGGGGATCTGATCTCCAAAAAAATATTATTTTACTAACTTATTAATTTTAAGTTAAATTGTGCTTTGTTGGTATAGTGCAGGGGTAGGCAAGTTCGTATATTATTTCTTAATATTTCATATTAATATATATACTGCTAGAATGTAAAAAAAATGTTCAGTGTTAAATATCTTTAAATTGTTGTTTTGTAATTGATTTTTTCTTTGAAAAGCAAGACAAAACAGTAAAAGGCACATTTTGGCTATTTAATTTGTGCAATGGTGAAAAAAAATTGGCAAAATACATGGGGGGAAAAAAACTCGAAAAACCATGTTCGGTATTCGGCCTTTGGCCCAGTGTTTCATTTTGTTCGGTTTCGGCTTCGGCCAAGAATTTTCATTTCGGTGCATCCCTATTGTTAGATGCTATTTTAATGATGCTATGGCATGACATGGCATATGTAGAAATTTATGTAAGCCAAGATTTTAAAAAAGAGCTTTAAAAGTATTATGTATAGGCTTAACATTTTGTCACACCAGGGGCATAGCCATCATTTCAGAAGTGTCAAATACAATAATTTTATGTGTGTATTTTTTATTTTTTTTACAAGGAATTATTTTCTTCTCTTACTTTGAATTTGCTATAAGACATCATATACACTTCTGGACAATAATCAATCATTTGTAATCTATATTTTTTTCCTAATGGCAATTTTATGATTGTTTTATATACTACAAACAATTAATTCAATTTTCTGCACAGAATAAGGTAGAAAATATACTTTATAGTTTCTGTACTGTAATAAATGATATGTCAATTAGCACTGCAGCATTCATAAATATTATTTATTTATTGTGTTTATTGTCTTAATGTTTCAGTTCATTCTGCTTTTTATTCAGCTTAGCTGCAGATATAGCCTGGCACGTCTTAAGTTCTATTAGCGCGAGATCACTTCTCTTTCAGTGCGAAAACTTCTTTATCTCAATTTCATAAAATAAAATGCTGTAGTGTTTAACTTTTCCTCTCCATCGGCGAATGATGATTCTGAAAGAAAACATGCCCGAAGTCTGTTTGCTATAGCAACGAGTGCTACTTTCATGCATCTGATTATCAGAAAAACCTTGCACTCTTATTTCAAGGTTGTTGTTAAAGCGGTGGTTATTTTAACGGTTTCCTTCATACATTCGGTTTAACAACATTGTTAAAACACATTTCTCATTCAATGGAACTGCGCATATGCTTTAGACACTTACATTTGTGCTCCGTCCATCCAATAAATGCGCAGCCTTCGACTGCTCAGGTAATGTCGTCGATATGACCGAGGGCCATTGAAAAACTACAGAAAAGTAAAACTACTTCACTTTAGCATTACTGGCCACGAGTACTAAGGAGAGATCACACATCAGCTGCTCAAAAAATGTGTCAGTGAGACGAACGGAGTGCGAGTGCAATCCTGTGACAGTCACAGGCGGTAAATATTTGAGCGCGTGAAGGAGAGATGCGAGGGTACGAACACTGTTCAAGGTCTCCATTAATTTGTGCTTGTAGTAATTTAATGTGTATATATTTTGAAAGCATTGAATCGCTATAGAAATCGCGATTCATTCGATTCTTAGCGTTTTAAATCGATTACTGTCCGAAATCGGCGATTCACGATTCAAAAATCCATGTTTCAAGATCGATGCATTGCATCGTCTGGGTTTGTAATCGATGCATCGAGAAAACGAGTGAATCGTTACACCCCTAGTTAATTACAATAAAAACAATTGTGATTCCTTTCTTTTTTTTTCCTGTTTTCAGGAACATAAAGTGTTGTTAACAGGCACTCCACTTCAAAACACAGTAGAGGAGCTCTTCAGTTTGCTGCACTTTCTGGAGCCGGCCCAGTTCCCCTCGGAGATAGAGTTTTTGCGCGAGTTTGGAGATCTTAAAACAGAGGAGCAGGTAGGAAAAATGTGGTAACATTTTGGCAAATAACACAATCTCTGTTAAGAGCATCAGCAGTTTCCAACACAGTCACTGTCTTTGATTATCAGGTCCAGAAACTGCAGTCAATTCTAAAGCCCATGATGCTGCGTAGACTGAAAGAAGATGTAGAAAAGAACCTCGCCCCAAAACAAGAGACCATTATTGAGGTATGAACTGTTTCTAGCATCAGGACTGTTTCTTGATGATTAATTCTCTTTGCTTTCGTAAGTTCTGAGTGCATCATTTTCTGTGGTCCCCAGGTGGAGTTGACTGATGTACAGAAGAAGTATTACCGTGCTATTCTAGAACGTAACTTCAGCTTCCTTAGCATGGGAGCCACACAAAACAGCAATGTACCCAATCTCCTCAACACAATGATGGAACTTCGAAAGTGCTGCAACCACCCATACCTCATTACAGGTAATGAATTTATGGATGTTCCCTGGTAGTGTCTCTTGTTTGTAATTTTAGCCTTGCAATCTTTGTTTACATGTAGCTGAGCATAACAGGTTTTACTTCAAACCAGGACCACTTTGGTCCTGTAGCACACACACACACAAATGTTTGCTTGTTGGTTTCCAATCCTAGTTTTTAGTTTGTATTGCTCATCTTTTTGTTATCCACTTTTTTATCTCTCTGTGCAGGGGCTGAGGAGAAGATAGTGGCCGAGCTGAGAGAGGTGTATGATCCTCTGGCTCCAGACTTTCATCTCCAGGCTCTGGTGCGCTCTGCAGGGAAACTGGTCTTGCTGGATAAGCTGCTTCCTCGCCTTAAGGCTGGCGGGCACAAGGTGCTCATCTTCTCACAGATGGTGCGATGCCTTGACATCCTTGAGGACTACCTCATACACAAGAGGTATAGCTTTAGAAGTGTAAACTGTGAAATGGAAATGTGTGATTTGTAAGGCAACTGCAGCCAAATAATTTTAATTCTGCCATCTGGTTTGTTAGATGGATCTAAAATTAGATGTGTTCTCTCTGATTAGATACCTGTATGAGCGCATTGACGGGCGGGTCAGAGGAAACCTGCGACAAGCGGCCATTGATCGCTTTAGTAAACCCGATTCAGACCGGTTTGTCTTCCTGCTTTGTACCCGGGCTGGAGGTTTGGGCATTAATCTGACTGCTGCTGACACCTGTGTCATTTTCGACTCTGACTGGAACCCACAGAATGATCTTCAAGTGAGGATCTCACACTGTGGTTTTTTTTTCATAGTGATTTCAATGCATTAAAGGTGATACAGGTGTTCAGTTTCATTGTTTGTCTTCTCTTCCACACAGGCTCAGGCACGTTGTCATCGTATTGGTCAATCTAAAGCGGTGAAGGTTTATCGTCTCATTACCAGAAACTCCTATGAGAGGGAGATGTTGGACAAAGCGAGTCTTAAACTGGGACTTGATCGAGCTGTTCTGCAAAGCATGAGTGGAAATAAGGACAGCAGTGTTAACGGGGTAAGAATGAAATAAATCATATTGCTTTGTTAAAGTGATAGTTTACCCAAAATGAAACCTGTATGTTTTGTTGAATTATTACTTTAAATTCAAGTTCAACACACAAGTCACTTTATGATAGATCATCACTCACTGGTATGCTATTAACTTTCCTCAGATCCAGCAGTTCTCAAAGAAGGAAATAGAGGATTTGCTTCGTAAAGGTGCTTATGCAGCCATTATGGATGAGAACGACGAGGGCAGCCGTTTCTGTGAGGAGGACATCGATCAGATACTTCAGAGAAGAGCAACTACCATCACTATAGAGAGTGAAGGCAAAGGATCCACCTTTTCCAAGGCCAGCTTTGTGGCGTCTGAGAACCGCACAGATATTGCTCTGGATGATCCCGAGTTCTGGCAAAAGTGGGCCAAGAAAGCTGACATAGACATGGACTCTCTCAACAGGAAGGTACAGCGTAGCATTTGGTAAATGGTTACTGTATTCTTTATTTTCTGTAAGTCTATCCTTTTTTTCATGAATCTCTTGTTTTCTTTCATGCAAACTCTTTGCAGAATACTCTTGTGATTGACACACCGAGAGTAAGAAAGCAAACGCGTCAGTATTCCAGCCTGCGTGGAGAGGGTGGGGATCTGTCTGACTTGGACAGTGATGATGACTACCCACCCCATAATTCCCGACCATCTCGGGCCTCTCGACGCTCAGACCGGCATTCTGGTGGTGGTTATGGGCGCACAGACTGCTTTAGAGTGGAAAAACACCTACTTGTTTATGGGTTTGTGGCCTTGTTTCTTCCTGATCGTGTTTTAGTTGTGCTGGTTTTCATTTGTTTCTTCATCTCATGAGTGTGTGAAACTTTCTGTGGAATTATGATTTCATACTTTTTAAATTTCAACATGACTTTGTCTATACAGGTGGGGCCGTTGGCGGGATATCCTGTCTCATGCTCGCTGTAAGCGGCGTCTCAGTGAACGTGACGTGGAAACCATCTGCCGTGTCATCCTGGTTTTCTGTCTGATACATTACCGTGGAGATGAGAACATCAAGAGCTTCATCTGGGAGCTAATCACCCCTCCAGAGAATGGACGAGAACCACAGGCTCTGCTTAATCACTCTGGTATGACTCTCGCTTATTATAGTATTTTTATTTTAAATTAATACACCTTGATTCTTCCAGCAAGGACCCTCAGGTGGTGTTCCATCAGGTCTTTAGTTTTTCATGGTCAATATTATCCAACCACCTTTCAACTATCTCTGAAATTCCTGTATGATTGTTGCATTTCTAACTTTCAAATTGGTTGTGAATCAGACATTACTTTCTGCTTATTCATCATGGAAAAATTGAGAGTAAGCAATGTATGAATATATTCACACAGAACAGATGCCCCCCAATATGACTGAAAGAAAAGACTAATTTAAGAAAATACTCTTTATTGGGGTGGCTTTATAAAGCTACATCCTATGTAGGTTAGGGGTGTGCGATATTGACAAAAAATAATATATCTCAATATTTTCTGGGATTTTATCGATAACGATAATTAGACAATATTTTGCTGTTGTGCTGGTATCTTAAGGACTGTCGTGGACAGCTGACTCCTAAAGTTTTTGATATTCTTCATATTCTGTGTGGTGGTCAGATAACACTGAAATTAGAATAATAAGACTTTTGGGCTGTTGCCAAGCAAATGAAATCAGTATCAACAAAATTCATCTTTGTAATGCAGAGGAAACACAGAAGCTGCATCTGAAGTTACATTTAGATGCATATACACACTGTTTAATGCAAGACATGAATGCATTTAACCTGCAATTACAAATGCATAAATCATATATTAAACATTAAAAAGTTTAATACCGATATTTTAAATTATTTAAATAATAAAAGATACTTTGAATGTGAAATTAAAACCGCCAGCAGGTGGCAGCAAGTCACTTAATAAGTGAGTCGTTACGATTGAACCGAATTAGGGATGCACCGATACCGATACTGGTATTTGGATTAAAACTAAATCGTAAAAATAAGACCATTTATAGGGGCATTCACTATAAACATAATTTATTTTCAACCTTAGTCATACACGACTTTCTGGCGAAAGTGAATCTAGCAGCCTGTGTGATGAATAATTTTTGGTTGATTGATAAAAAGGTACAGTATGTAATGGATTACAAAGTTATCTAACATTATCAAGCTGAATTTGTTCTGACAGTTAAATTCTGAGTTTTTGTCATGTTTTATTACCATTTTCTAAACTATAGCGAATAAACTGTGATAATGTGAGAAATGTTGAAGGTGTCTGAATAATTTTTTTTGACTATTTGAAAAATGAAGTTAACCAACTAACATTATATACTCTTTTGGTTTCTGTACCCAATATTTAAAAAATTTACGAATGCAATAAAAATATCGGTATCGGTACCCCGTATCGGCAAGTACCAAAAATAAAAGTATTGTATCGGGCGAGTACTGGAAAAAGTGGTATCGGTGCATCCCTAAACAGAATCATTTAAACAGTTGATTCATTCAGGAACGAAACACCTTCATGTTGCTCAGAGGCGCAAAACAGTGCTGTGGCTGTGTTTGGAGTGAATTTTGTTGTCGAAATAAAGCAAAAACAGGAAATATGGTGTCTAAAACGTGAGTCTCTTAATTAACTTCACTCTTAACTGTTTATTGAACTGTTGTAAAAAAAATCAATATCACATTTGTAATCATTGTAATTTTTTAAGCGTTTTTTTTCCGTTACTCTTTGTTTGAAATTGATTAACTAGGCTATATGAAGTGGTATAAATAGCCTATATACATTTTCTGCCCCCATGTCTTTAATTTTGTGATCATTCTAAATGTAGTGAAAGTGCAGTGAAAGAACACACACTACGCACGCGCACTAGTCTAGACTTCACGTGATGAATGCGTGCACTCTTGTAGGTGTGTTTTGAATGGTTTCAGCAAAATACTCGATAATGTCAAATCGCACATCGTTAAAACAACAATTACGATATTATCACTGACGATATATATCGCACACCCCTAATGTAGGTTGTGAAATAGAGCATTAGCTAAACAAGCTTAAAGGTTTAATAAGTGCTCATAATGGTGCTCTCCTTTCCTTTAGGTCTGTCCATCCCTGTCCCTCGTGGCAGAAAGGGGAAACGAGTCAAGGCTCAGAGCTCTTTTGATGTGCAGAAAGTTGAGTGGATCCGAAAGTATAATCCTGACAGTCTTTTGCTTGATGACAGTTACCGAAAACACCTCAAACACCAGTGCAACAAGTATGTTAGACATATCAGGGACACTATTATATTATTTAATTATACTCTGCAAAATATTAGCTTGAGTGTCTTCAATTCACTGTCTTTTTTTTTCAGAGTGTTGCTGAGAGTACGTATGCTGTATTACCTGAAACAGGAGGTCATTGGAGAACATGCTGATTCTGTATTGAGAGGAGCTGATGCAAGGTATAGCCATCATCTAATTTCATTGCTTTAGACAAAATTACCATCAATTTTTTGCATCTAAATCTGTGGTTTAAAGCATCTGCTAAAGAAATGTAAATCACCAGTATCATAAGTTGTCATTAAATCTTGCATTATTTAATGTTTTTATGCCTTGGTTTCTTTGAATTGATCAGGTTTTACAATTTGCGAAACTCTTTTAAATTCCTTCACTGCTGCTAGTGCGTTTCATTTGCAGGGATATTGATATCTGGTTGCCTGAAATGGAGCAGCAGGATGTTCCGTCTGGCTGGTGGGATGCAGAAGCTGACCGATGCTTGCTTATCGGCGTCTATAAGCATGGTATGTGGAGGCTTTGTTAAGGTCATGTCATCTTCAAGGGTGTCCCATTATATAAGAAGAGCTTCCTTAAGTCGTTAGGTCTTTTAGCTAGATTCAAGTTTTACAGATCATTGATGTTTTCATTGATCTTGTATCTCTGTATCTGTATCTTATTTCAGGATATGAGATGTACACCACTATGCGTGCTGACCCCTGCTTGTGTTTTGTTGAGCAATGTGGCCGTCCAAATGAGCAGGACATTAATGCGGAGCAGCAAGCAGCAGACCCAGAGCTTGGGGAGGGGTCAGTTTCAAACAGACCTGGGCTTTGTTTCTCAAAAGCATTGTGAGCTAAATTGATCACAGAGATCATTGGTGATAATGGTTTCTACGATCTACTTAGGCTTACAATGCTTTTTGGGAACCGCAACCCTGATCTCTAACACCTGCATTATAATCTTCTAGCTTATATGATTTTTCTTGTAAACTTACATGTTCTTATTGTGTTTTAGAGGGGACTATGACAAGTACTCAGAAGATCCAGAATTCAAACCTGCAACAAGACACACCAAGGAGGTATATGAAGAGGTAAACGTGTTTTGAATCACGTTTTTTTTTTTCCCTGTAACCTTTAAAGTGTAATTCGGGCACATTTATCTTGTGGAGTTATTAAGAGTTTAAATTTAATAGAAAATATGGATAATGTGCTCCTCAGGCTGATTCGGTGAATACAGATGGTGAGATTTGTGTGGAGGATCGCTCTGTCCCTGTGCAGGTTGAGGGGCCATCTTCGGGATCGTCAGATTTGTGTTACTGGCCAACAAGCTCGTCGCTCACAGCCAGACTACGCCGTCTTATCACAGCCTACCAACGCAGTTACAGACGAGAGCAGCTTAAGATGGAGGCAGCAGAGAAGGGCGACCGTAAACGTAGACGCTGTGAGCAAGCAACAAAGCTCAAAGAGATAGCTCGACAAGAACGACAACAAAGGTATGTTCCTTAAGTAAACCATTACAACAGCTTCTTCTTCAGTCTCGATGTCCAGCGTTCTCATAAGCTTCTCTGTTTCAGGTGGACTCGTAGGGAGGAGTGTGATTTTTACAGGGTGGTATCAACGTTTGGGGTCGAAAGGATAAAGAAAGAAGCTGATGCTCCAGAAGGGGATGAGCATCATATGGACTGGAATCGCTTCCGTTCTTTTGCTCACCTTGATAAGAAATCCGACGAGAGCTTGACGCGTTACTTCAAATGCTTTATGTCCATGTGTCGGAAAGTGTGTCACCTTCGGCCAGCACGTGGAGAAGGTACATTATACTTTCATTTTTTTATGTACTTTTACTGGAAGTCGATGCGAAAGTGTTTTATATTCATCTACTCGTATATTATGACTTCTTTTTTAGCTAAACTAGATATCGAATATGAACCTGCTTGGAAATTGGTTTAGATAAATCTTTTAAAAATCATTTTCAGGAGTTGAAATATAAATATTAGATATAATATCAATATTATATGAAAACCTTAAACTTGAAGCTGCCTCATTAAATAAGAAATGTTGCCTTGGAAGCTAAATGAAATGCGTTGTAAGTACTAAAATTATTAAATGGAAATAAACATATTAAAAAAATAATTCTATATACAGTGGGGAAAATATTTATTTGATCCCCTGCTGATTTTGTAAGTTTGCTTACAAAGAAATTAAGGGTCTGTAATTTTTATGGTAGGTTTATTTTATCGTATAGAGACAGAATACCAACCAAAAAATCCAGAAAAAACACATTATATAAAGATTAGAAATTGATTTGCATTTCAGTGAGTGAAATAAGTATTTGATCCCCCAAGCAAAACATGACTTGGTGCAAAAACCCTTGTTGGCAAGCACAGAGATTTTGATCACTCCTCTTTACAGATCCTCTCTAAATCCTCTAATCCTTAAATCCTTAAGGTTTCTTGGCTGTTATTTGGCAACTCGAAGTTTCAGCTCCCTCCACAGATTTTCTATAGGATTGAGGTATGGAGACTGGCTAGGCCACTCCATGACCTTAATGTGCTTCTTCTTGAGCCACTCCTTTGTTGCCTTGGCGGTATGTTTCGGGTCACTGTCATGCTGGAAGACCCATCCATGACCCATCTTCAGTGTTCTGGCTGAGGGAAGGAGGTTCTCGTCCAAGATTTTACAGTACTTGCAGGCGCTGCAGGATTTCAGTCCATTGCGGATTGTGTAGTGTGTTACCAATGTTTTGCTTGTTGACTGTGGTCCCAACTGAAGATCATTAACAAGATCCTCCTGTGTAGTTTGGGGCTGATCCCTCACCTTTCTCATGATCATCCGTACCCCATGAGGCGAGATCTTGCACGGAGCTCCAGACCGAGGCTGATTGATGATTTTGTATTTCTTCCATTTCCGAATAATCGCACCATCAGTTGTCTCCTTCTCACCAAGCTTCTTGCTGATGGTCGTGTAGCCCATTCCAGCCTTGTGCAGATCTACAGTCTTGTCTCTGACCCATAAAAATGGCAGACCCTTCATTTCTATGAAAGTGGGCAAACTTACAAAATCAGCAGGGGATCAAATAAATATTTTCCCCACTATAGCTTTATATAACACATTGTCTACTGTTATCCCTTCTTCCTCTATTAGAATCTCAAGATTTGTCCCAGTCTCTGGCCCCCATCACAGAAGAACGAGCCTCGCGCACACTCTACAGGGTCAGCTTGCTGTGCCGGCTACGTGAGCGCGTTCTTCCCCACCACTCATTGGAGGAACGCCTCAGTCTGGCACCACTCTCCTCTGACCTTCCCAACTGGTGGAGCATCCCACAGCACGACCACGAGCTGCTCTTAGCTGCCGATAGACATGGCGTCAGCCGCACTGAACTCTCAATCTTCTCTGACCCACAGTACTCATTCATTCAGGCCCGCCTCGACTACCTCCAGAACCAGCAAGCCCAAGCCGCTTTGCAGATTCACACGTTAAGTCAGTCACAGGATCCGACCAGTATCAAAGAGGAGAGCCTAGATGATGAGTCTCAGCTGCTGGGGGTGGAGGCCCTCTGTTCGTCAGACTCTCCAGCCTTGCTCCTCACCCATTCTGAGGGAAAAGTTGGAGTTCAGGCTGGATGGAGCTGGAAGAAGAGCAAAAACAATGGGCCCAGTGAGAGAAAAGGAGGAAGAGAGAGAGGTGAAGGGCCTTCGGACTCCGATTCTGATTCAGACTCGGGCTCGTCTTCCTCCTCCCGTCATTCTGGCAGCTCAGATGATAGCGGAGACAGTGATGCCGAGAGAGAACAAGGTGAGGAGGCACTGTTGCATTTAAATTATTTATGGCAAACTACAGCTTAAAATATTATTTCTTATTGTTTTAGCCTCATGATGTTCAGTATGCAACTCATTTAACTTTTAACTCATTTAACTTTTTGCCAGTCAAGCTCAAAATGTTTAGGGTAAAATACAGTAAAAAAATTAGATAAATCAAGGCATTTTTGTGCAAATTGTTTCATTATATAAACACCAGAAAGAATTGTCCTTTTTTCATTTCTGTTCATTCATACCAAATTAAAACAGTAATAAACAGTAATATTTGTATTTATTTATTCAGGGTAATTAATATTTTATTCAGCAAGGATACATTTAATTGATCAAAAGTTACAAAGACTTTTATAATGTTATGAATGTTTTCTCTTTCAAATAAATTGTTTCAAACCTTCCTGCAGAAAAAAGCACAATTTCTGTATAAATAATCTTACCAAAATATTTTTCGATTTTGCATTTTTAACAAGTATTTGAATGCTTTGAAATTGCCACGTTGGGTTTTTTGCCGTTTTTGCATTTTTCTATGACAGGACAGTATAGATATGACAGGAAGTGAGTGGGAGAGAGAGATGGGGGTGGGAACGGGAATGGTCCACAAGGCGGGATTCGATCTCGGGATTCGATCTCGGGACACTTGAAACGCAACTGCACCATATGTCAGCACGCTACCCACAAGGATATCGGCGGCGACATACAGATCGAGGCGGGATTCGATCTTGGGACACCCGAACCGCAACTGCCATGTGCTGCCCACAAGGCTATCGGCGCCGACCACATAGGAACTTTGACATTTGAGTGACTCAATTTGCTGAATCAGATTTTTTTAATCCATTTCGTTACACGATTCACTGAGTTTGAACTAATTCACAGAAATGAACTTACTAACTCGCATAGTTTCTGTTACTTGAGTTTTAAGGATTAGTTTACCTACAAATCTAAATTTTCTAAATGTCAAACCTGTATGACTTTGTCTTCCATAGAACATAAAAATGTATGAGCTATTTTCTTAATCATTCTGATCTTCACTGAGCATTATGTTTTTAATAATGGTTAATTTGGGTTGATTTGAACGTGATTTGTTACTAGAATGATTCTGATCTCTTAGTAGCAGCTCTTAAGATGTGCGATGGCGATGAAGAAAACAGCATCCTCTCCCTCACACCATCTCAAGAAGGCGCCCCACCCGAGTCCCTCACTGACCCTCTGAGAGTTGATTGGCCCAAAGACCGTGTGTTGATAAACCGAATAGACAACCTCTGCTCGCTGGTTCTAAAGGGGCATTGGCCGTCAGGTCGACGCTACGTCTCTGACATACAGCTTAATGCTACATCTGAAGAGCATGACCTCGGAGATGGCCTAGGCTACCCCGGAGTGGCACGCAAAAGCAACAGTGCCCTGTCTGCTGAAGCTCTTGAAGGCCAAGAATCAGAGTTCACAGTAAAACTCCTAAAGGTGAGGTGGTGTTCAGACATTTATGAACCTCTGCTGTCTCTTAAATGTCTGCTTTGTTTCATTTTTGCATTTGTTTCACTTTGTTTAGGAGGAGGGGCTGAAGTTGACATTTTCTAAGCAGGCTCTCATGCCAAACGGTGAAGCGAGTGCACGCAAAAAGAGAAAGGACCACGAGGTACAGAAATGCAGTCTTATAAATTTGCCCAAAAGTAACCTTTCAGTTTACATTGGTGCATTATAAGTATTTCCAGCTATATAATGTTTTTTTTTTTACATTTAGCTGGTAGATGCCGAAGGGGTTCTCCATGCTCCCCGCAGAAGGGACCTTCCTAACTGGCTCAAAGAAAACCCAGATTATGAAGTGGAGGGAGACATGTTAGAAGTAAGTGCAAAACTCAGGTTGAACTCTTCTTTTCTGAGTTCTTCTTGGACTGACACAGCTAAAAATGTTTCTCTTTGTTGCAGTTACTGGTGAACCGGACCAAAAGGAAGAGGAGGAGGAAGAGGGTAGAGAAAGGAGCAGCACTTACCGGCAGTGAGAGAGTGAAGGTCATAGACATAAGGACAGGCAAGAAGGTGAGGGGAATACATTTGACAGTTCTGCCATAAATAACACCTTTTCCCTTTTAGACCACAAAAAGTAACCAGAACAACTGTTTTTAACATTGGTAATAAGAACTTTTTCTTGAGCACCAAGTCAGCATATTAGAATGATTTCTGAAGGCTCATGTGACACTGAAGACTGGAATAATGCCTGCTGAAAAGTAGTTTTTTTTTATTTTTTATCAAATAATGATTTGCTGAGCATTAGAGACTTCTTTGAAATCTTACTCTGACCAAACTTTTTAATGGTAGTGTATGCCATTTCCATGAAACAACAGTTTACACTGTTGTACATGGGACTGTTACTGTTAGGTGCAGTTGGTTACAAACAGTGACAATCAGTTACCAACAGTGCAGTTGGTCTTACACTCTGTTTTATACTCTCTTTAGTTTGGTGGAATATACGGGCCTTTACTACAGGACCTGAGAGAGCACCTGGAGGAGAATCCTGACCACGTTGTAGCACCAGAATGGTCTGAGACTGTTCGCAATTCGGTTAGTGTCTCCTATATGTGACCCTGGACCACAAAACCAGTCTTAAGTCGCTGGGGTATATTTGTAGCAATTGCCAAAAATACATTGTATGGGTCAAAATTATCGATTTTTCTTTTATGCCAAAAATCATTAGGATATTAAGTAAAGATCATGTTCCATGAAGATATTTTGCAAATTTCCTACCGTAAATATATCAAAACGTCATTTTTGATTAGTAATATGTATTGCTAAGAACTTCATTCGGACAACTTTAAAGGCGATTTTCTCAATATTCCAGATATCACAATATTACCCTCAGATTCCAGATTTTCAAATAGTTGTATCTCGGCCAAATATTGTCCTATCCTAACAAACCATACATCAATGGAAAGTTTATTTATTCAGCTTTCAGATGGTGTATAAATATCAAGACTGGTTTTGTGGTCCAGGGTCACATATTAGCTCAGTGTGTTTATGGTTATCATCTTCATCTACCCTGGTTGTATAGTGTATTTTAGGTCAGTCGCAGTCAGTGGTTATTTTTCTGGAATTTAATCTGACCCTTCTCTTCAATCTCAGGGCTTCTTGCCTGAGAGTTTATTCCACAGACTGTTGAGTCCCCACGCTTCAATCCCCAAAAAGAGTCGACATTACCTCTCCACCCCTTCCATCCAGACTGATGACCCTCTCCTGGGAGGCGGCGAAGGCGAGACGTTAGTTTCTGACGGCGCATACATGATGGACGACGAGGACCTGGAGGACGGCAGTCACCTCACGTCATCTCACCACTTCCTTACTCCAGCCTACGATGTGAAGATGGAGCCGAGCGCTCTTGATATGGACGGAGGCGACAGTTTGTCACAAGGTGGCTATGATAGCTCAGACAGAGAGGCCATTTTGGATGATGTCATCATGGCACCGAAGAATTCAGACTCTTCCTCAAGCTCTGAGGATTGACCAAATCTCATGTTAGATGTAGTAAACTGAGATCATGACAGTCTTTTATTTTATTATATCCTGCCTTCATTATTTTTATAATTATTATTGATGTTATTGCTTAAAATATGGAGTAACAGATTTGTTTTTTTCTTGGGTTGGATTTGTACTTGACTGTTTTGTGTAGGAAAGATATAGGCGCTTTTTTTTTTTTTCTTTACACCTCATTCAGCACATTGTGCAAAATCTTAATTCCAGATGGATGAAATATATCAATTTCATGTCTCACATACCCACAGTAAGCCCCTTTCATCCTTTATTGGCTGGGAAAGGAAGGAGCTGTTTGTCTCACTCCCTCTGGCTGAACTGTTTAACAGTGTGCTGGAGGATCCATAGTCATGCACTGAGCTGAGCCATCATGGTGCCTCGGTCTGGTGAAGAACATGGAGTTTTTGTTGGATGTATATCATTTTTTTTTTTTTGTGTTTTGGGGGGGGGTGTAATATTTGGGATTAAGGGTTAGTTACTGAAACAATGTTAGACAGATGATGGCTGTATTGTACAAAGTAGAGTTGGTCTTATGCCTGCAATGATGCAAAAAATTATGCGTTTATTCCCGGTTCAATAACTGACTCCAACTGTCTCTGTGATATAAATATGAATAGCAGTCTACAGTGGAAACTGATGTCTGTTGAATTCTTTTCATCAAGTGTTGGTATTTATTTGAATAATGACTACTCATGGCCCTTTTTATTGACTTCTTGGAATACATACTGAGTAGAAGAGCAAGTTCATTTTCTCTTTCATATTTCATACTTGGATGAGGCATCATAAAATATAGTCTTCAATTATTGTGTTTTGATGAATTTAGTTTACATATAAGACATTAAATCACCAATTTAGAATAAGGTTGACCAAGGCATTGCAAGACCCAATAGTGAATAAAAAAATCCCAGACATTCAGTATGTGCAGCAGGGTTAATACTTCTTGACCCCTACAGTGCTGGAGGTAAGTCACGTTTGACTGTTTTGTCATGGTTATCCGCCTTAACAATCAGTATTTAGTATGTGACAAATAGATTGCTGTTGTGTGGTGCCTTTTGAGCTCTGTATCTGGAAGTGAATGCTTATTGCAATTTTTCAAAGTATTACTATAAAAGATACAAACCACTGAGGGACTGGCTAACGAGTCATTTTAGACATTTTGCAAACTTCTCTAACAATTTACAATTTTATTTATCAGGATGGCTTGTTTTAAAAGGACACGCTAAATATTATAAACCATGTTTACTGTTGTTTTACCCATCAAAAATGTCACTTCCAGTGGGATATTGCACAAGACAGAATAGCAAGTGAAAATTCGAACATCGAAGAGACTTGAAGTTCATTAAAAACGTTAAACATTCACAAGAAAAAAATGCTGCTTTTAAAGCATTTTTTTAGGGAAGAATAATGCATAGCACCTAGGGACATGACAAAAACGGAAAGCTCAAAGGAGTATTAATATCATATAGCCCTATATTTCAAAAAGTAAAAGAAACTAATGATGTCAATATTTAAAAGGTTTGATTGAATTTTAACCAATAGGAAGTATATGAAGGGGACAAAAATGGATTGTAATGCACATTAGTAATAGGCCAAAAAAAAGAGGATTTTCCTAGGGGCACATGGGGCCACAGAACAGAAATCTTTGCTTTCACACTTGGCTCGCTTGCCTGGTCCGAACCCGAGTTCGATTGCTCCCCCTGCCCCCGCTGGACTGCGTTCATATTATTTTATTTGGGTACGAACCGCGGTTCGTTTGCGTCATCAAGCCAGCAGCTGTTTACCCCGTTGCTTAGTAACGATGGTGCAGGAGAAGGCGGCAAATGCATAACATTCCTCTCTGCACTTTTATATAGTTATGTTTTTGGACCGTTCGTTTGTTTACAAAGCTTCGGTACATAACGGCACTTACGTCTGTCTTACGAATGTACTGCAAATGCTCTAAAGAACGCTGAAGGCAAACAGAAATGAGATGTATTTATATTTATATATTTATAACAGAGATATACTCTGTTTGCAACGCGTCAGTCACGCTCGTCAGGAAAGTGAGTGAAACACACAAACAAACACACATTTTAATCAAATAATACGTCATTAATAGCGGTTCACTTCCGCGATTTGGTACGATTGCGTTCACATCAGCAGCGAACCGTACCGGAGGAGTTCACATGAACCGTATCCCAGACCACCCTTTTCAAGCGGACTCGGGTACGGAAGACAGCGTTCACATCATCCAAACGAACCGAACTCTGACGTCAATCGAACCCGGCACCAAAAGTGCTACATTTACATTTAGTCATTTAGCAGACGCTTTTATCCAAAGCGACTTACAAATGAGGCTAGTGTGAAAGCACCCTTAGAGATGCATTCAAATCACAGGACAATTTTTGTCTTATTGTAAACATTTGCGTGTATTGGCTCTTTATGTAAAAATGGAACAACACTGCTTCAATCTCTAAAAAATGATTAAATAAGATTCCTTCTCCAGTAATCATAAACGACCGTGATTGGTGCACCTTTACCATGGCTGATAAAAGTAACGGCTGCCATGTGACATTGTAGCAGCAGCGTAGAAAATAATTTGTGGTGGCTATTGAATTGTAAATACATAATGAAGAAAAATAATACATTTATGGTGTTTTACCAGTTATTAACAACGTTTGAGCTACATTAAATATTTTCAGCAAAAAAGCGTTTCCTTATTGGTCTGATCGGAGTGCGATTAATCGGACTTGTGAATGCGAACAGACAAACGTAGCAGAGTAGCGATCGAATCGGTCCATTTGTAGCAATTGCAGCAACTGTCTGCTAGTGCAACTCTAAAGCAAACTTTGTTCATTAAATTTGAATATGTATTAAGAATATATAGTTTATAGTGCTATTTAATAAGTCGCTGGGTATTACATATAGGAAATACCAGAAGTCTTTCTCCGCGAGGCCTGTGATATGAATGAAACCTCATGTTGGGTTTAACAGCAACACATCTGTGAACTAGCACCATTTAGCCAGTTAACGTTAGCTACTGTTGGCTGGCTGAATTGGTAAGCCTTTATCTAACTTACCACTCTTACAACGTTTTTATATATACCTATAAAAACAAATCTAGTTATACTTGCGCTGCGTGTTGGATCGCCTGATGAGGTTTATTGGCATTATTCAATCGAGCAACACATACCATATTCTGGACAATACCGAGAACATGGTGCTGCCTTTCTTGGTTTTCTTCTTTTGGTGAATCGCATTTTTTTTTCTTAGATGACGTGGCCTGTTGATTTTTTGTTATTTGTTGCTCTTGGATTGTTACAAGCTCAGCCGCTCCTCTGATATCAGGAGATCTTCGTATTATCCTCATGGATTTGAATTTTTACTCGGATCTCTCTGACGGGACTGGTCAACATGTTGATTCCGAGTTCATGGATAACTCGTCTTACAATGGATATGATCCAGTGAACAAGGTAAATCTGGCACCTTTGTGTAGTAAAATATCTTCAGTTTAATGAACTATACGTTGTTTATTATTGCAGTCATTTAGTGTAGCTTTGATCTATCCGTGTGCATGCAGTTAATAATACTCATTTTAACCTATGCTTTTATAGTTCGCAGGTGGCAATGATTCATACCTGACCATCAGTGGACCTGGTCATCATTGGTCATCTGAGGTAGTGCTACAAAAACCTCAAGTAACTGTTCTATATTCTAAATTCTAGAATTCTGAGTTCTATATTCTGAACTCTCTCTCTATATATAACTCTGTATATACAATGAAATTTAAAAAAATGATATTGATGTAATACATTTTTATATTTATCTATGTATTGTTTCGAAATTATACACCATTTTATATTAACTTTATTTATTTATTTATTTTATTGTAGAAAACATTCCATACACCCTGTCTGGGTGATGAAGAGTTTGAAATCCCACCGATCTCCTTGGATCCAGATTCTGCACTCACCATTGAAGATGTGGAAGCCCATTTTGGAGAGCTGGCTGAACAGGCTGAGACCTCGAGTGCTTCTGGAGTTGGAAATAGTCTTGCCAGTAATCCTGTGGTAGGGGGGAATGATCCCTCTTTTGCTTCTGCTTTCATGAATCCATCATCTCAGGGCATAGAGCACCTGAGTATGGGTGTGATTAACCAGCGGGGGGGAAGTGCACTACTGAGCTCAACTCTGGGTGTGGTAAGCTTTTCTTTTTCTATCAGTGATAATTTGTGTTCATGCTTTTAGGGTGTAAGTATGGGCATTTGAATTGCTGCCGATTTGGAGTAAAGTGTAGAGTTTTCCTTTTTTTTTAAGGATCTTGGGCATTCAGTTGGCTCCCATTTCAACAGTTCCTCTTCCATGACTATTGACGTTCCAATAAACGACATGAACCACAGTCTCTTAGGACACAGCCAGCTCACCACCATAGACCATTCAGATCTAAGTGCTCAGTTAGGGCTCAGCCTTGGTGGTGGAGGCAGTGTGTCAAAGTCTCTTGACCAACCGCTGTCAACCACTGACCCTGCTGGCTCGTTACAGGATGAAGACATGGAGGATTTCAGACAAGTGAGTCTTTCAGTTATGGGCTTGATTGGTGGCACATTTTCTCTCTTTGTTCCATCTTGTAATCTCTCCTCATTTGTGTTTTAGAAAACTATGCTGGTGGACCCATCCTCAGCCTCTCCGGCGATTGTTTCGCACATCCCCAGCTTGACGGGTTCCGCCCAGCTCTCCTCTGCTCCTCCAGCTGTGGTGAGGAGGGTGGGTGGTAAGCCGGCCATGGTGCCTCTGACTGCAGCGGACACAGGAGCAACACACGGAGGCAAAAAAGGAAAAAAGAAGAAAGATCCTAATGAACCACAGAAGCCAGTCTCAGCCTATGCTCTGTTCTTCAGAGACACCCAGGCAGCCATTAAAGGCCAGAACCCCAATGCCACATTCGGTGAGGTGTCAAAGATAGTGGCGTCCATGTGGGACAGCCTTGGAGAGGAGCAAAAACAGGTGGAGTATAGTTTTTCAGTGGTAAAAAATGCAATCTATTTAAAATATACACTACCACTCAAGTGTGGCCAGTACTTTTTTGTGTGTGTTAAGAAATTGTTTGTCAAGGATTTTTTTTATTTTTATCAAGGATGCATTATCGTGGGGAAGTCGTGGCCTAATGGTTAGAGAGTGGGACTCGTAACCCAAAGGTTGCGGGTTCGAGTCTCGTACCGGCAGGGATTGTAGGTGGGGGGAGTGAATGTACAGCGCTCTCTTCCACCTTCAATACCACGACTGAGGTGCCCTTGAGCAAGGCACCGAACCCCCAACTGCTCCCCGGGCGCCGCAGCAAAAATGGCTGCCCGCTGCTCCGGGTGTGTGTTCACGGTGTGTGTGTGTTCACTGCTGTGTGTGTGCACTTTGGATGGGATAAATGCAGAGCAGCTGTTTACCCCGTTGCTTAGTAACGATGGTGCAGGAGAAGGCGGCAAATGCATAACATTCCTCTCTGCACTTTTATATAGTTACGTTTTTGGACCGTTCGTTTTGTTTACAAAGCTTCGTTACATAACGGCACTTACGTCTGTCTTACGAATGTACTGCAAATGCTCTAAAGAACGCTGAAGGCAAACAGAAATGAGATGTATTTATATTTATATATTTATAACAGAGATATACTCTGTTTGCAACGCGTCAGTCACGCTCGTCAGGAAAGTGAGTGAAACACACAAACAAACACACATTTTAATCAAATAATACGTCATTAATAGCGGTTCACTTCCGCGATTTGGTACGATTGCGTTCACATCAGCAGCGAACCGTACCGGAGGAGTTCACATGAACCGTATCCCAGACCACCCTTTTCAAGCGGACTCGGGTACGGAAGACAGCGTTCACATCATCCAAACGAACCGAACTCTGACGTCAATCGAACCCGGCACCAAAAGTGCTACATTTACATTTAGTCATTTAGCAGACGCTTTTATCCAAAGCGACTTACAAATGAGGCTAGTGTGAAAGCACCCTTAGAGATGCATTCAAATCACAGGACAATTTTTGTCTTATTGTAAACATTTGCGTGTATTGGCTCTTTATGTAAAAATGGAACAACACTGCTTCAATCTCTAAAAAATGATTAAATAAGATTCCTTCTCCAGTAATCATAAACGACCGTGATTGGTGCACCTTTACCATGGCTGATAAAAGTAACGGCTGCCATGTGACATTGTAGCAGCAGCGTAGAAAATAATTTGTGGTGGCTATTGAATTGTAAATACATAATGAAGAAAAATAATACATTTATGGTGTTTTACCAGTTATTAACAACGTTTGAGCTACATTAAATATTTTCAGCAAAAAAGCGTTTCCTTATTGGTCTGATCGGAGTGCGATTAATCGGACTTGTGAATGCGAACAGACAAACGTAGCAGAGTAGCGATCGAATCGGTCCATTTGTAGCAATTGCAGCAACTGTCTGCTAGTGCAACTCTAAAGCAAACTTTGTTCATTAAATTTGAATATGTATTAAGAATATATAGTTTATAGTGCTATTTAATAAGTCGCTGGGTATTACATATAGGAAATACCAGAAGTCTTTCTCCGCGAGGCCTGTGATATGAATGAAACCTCATGTTGGGTTTAACAGCAACACATCTGTGAACTAGCACCATTTAGCCAGTTAACGTTAGCTACTGTTGGCTGGCTGAATTGGTAAGCCTTTATCTAACTTACCACTCTTACAACGTTTTTATATATACCTATAAAAACAAATCTAGTTATACTTGCGCTGCGTGTTGGATCGCCTGATGAGGTTTATTGGCATTATTCAATCGAGCAACACATACCATATTCTGGACAATACCGAGAACATGGTGCTGCCTTTCTTGGTTTTCTTCTTTTGGTGAATCGCATTTTTTTTTCTTAGATGACGTGGCCTGTTGATTTTTTGTTATTTGTTGCTCTTGGATTGTTACAAGCTCAGCCGCTCCTCTGATATCAGGAGATCTTCGTATTATCCTCATGGATTTGAATTTTTACTCGGATCTCTCTGACGGGACTGGTCAACATGTTGATTCCGAGTTCATGGATAACTCGTCTTACAATGGATATGATCCAGTGAACAAGGTAAATCTGGCACCTTTGTGTAGTAAAATATCTTCAGTTTAATGAACTATACGTTGTTTATTATTGCAGTCATTTAGTGTAGCTTTGATCTATCCGTGTGCATGCAGTTAATAATACTCATTTTAACCTATGCTTTTATAGTTCGCAGGTGGCAATGATTCATACCTGACCATCAGTGGACCTGGTCATCATTGGTCATCTGAGGTAGTGCTACACAAACCTCAAGTAACTGTTCTATATTCTAAATTCTAGAATTCTGAGTTCTATATTCTGAACTCTCTCTCTATATATAACTCTGTATATACAATGAAATTTAAAAAAATGATATTGATGTAATACATTTTTATATTTATCTATGTATTGTTTCGAAATTATACACCATTTTATATTAACTTTATTTATTTATTTATTTTATTGTAGAAAACATTCCATACACCCTGTCTGGGTGATGAAGAGTTTGAAATCCCACCGATCTCCTTGGATCCAGATTCTGCACTCACCATTGAAGATGTGGAAGCCCATTTTGGAGAGCTGGCTGAACAGGCTGAGACCTCGAGTGCTTCTGGAGTTGGAAATAGTCTTGCCAGTAATCCTGTGGTAGGGGGGAATGATCCCTCTTTTGCTTCTGCTTTCATGAATCCATCATCTCAGGGCATAGAGCACCTGAGTATGGGTGTGATTAACCAGCGGGGGGGAAGTGCACTACTGAGCTCAACTCTGGGTGTGGTAAGCTTTTCTTTTTCTATCAGTGATAATTTGTGTTCATGCTTTTAGGGTGTAAGTATGGGCATTTGAATTGCTGCCGATTTGGAGTAAAGTGTAGAGTTTTCCTTTTTTTTTAAGGATCTTGGGCATTCAGTTGGCTCCCATTTCAACAGTTCCTCTTCCATGACTATTGACGTTCCAATAAACGACATGAACCACAGTCTCTTAGGACACAGCCAGCTCACCACCATAGACCATTCAGATCTAAGTGCTCAGTTAGGGCTCAGCCTTGGTGGTGGAGGCAGTGTGTCAAAGTCTCTTGACCAACCGCTGTCAACCACTGACCCTGCTGGCTCGTTACAGGATGAAGACATGGAGGATTTCAGACAAGTGAGTCTTTCAGTTATGGGCTTGATTGGTGGCACATTTTCTCTCTTTGTTCCATCTTGTAATCTCTCCTCATTTGTGTTTTAGAAAACTATGCTGGTGGACCCATCCTCAGCCTCTCCGGCGATTGTTTCGCACATCCCCAGCTTGACGGGTTCCGCCCAGCTCTCCTCTGCTCCTCCAGCTGTGGTGAGGAGGGTGGGTGGTAAGCCGGCCATGGTGCCTCTGACTGCAGCGGACACAGGAGCAACACACGGAGGCAAAAAAGGAAAAAAGAAGAAAGATCCTAATGAACCACAGAAGCCAGTCTCAGCCTATGCTCTGTTCTTCAGAGACACCCAGGCAGCCATTAAAGGCCAGAACCCCAATGCCACATTCGGTGAGGTGTCAAAGATAGTGGCGTCCATGTGGGACAGCCTTGGAGAGGAGCAAAAACAGGTGGAGTATAGTTTTTCAGTGGTAAAAAATGCAATCTATTTAAAATATACACTACCACTCAAGTGTGGCCAGTACTTTTTTGTGTGTGTTAAGAAATTGTTTGTCAAGGATTTTTTTTATTTTTATCAAGGATGCATTATCGTGGGGAAGTCGTGGCCTAATGGTTAGAGAGTGGGACTCGTAACCCAAAGGTTGCGGGTTCGAGTCTCGTACCGGCAGGGATTGTAGGTGGGGGGAGTGAATGTACAGCGCTCTCTTCCACCTTCAATACCACGACTGAGGTGCCCTTGAGCAAGGCACCGAACCCCCAACTGCTCCCCGGGCGCCGCAGCAAAAATGGCTGCCCGCTGCTCCGGGTGTGTGTTCACGGTGTGTGTGTGTTCACTGCTGTGTGTGTGCACTTTGGATGGGTTAAATGCAGAGCACTAATTCCAAGTACGGGTCACCATACTTGGCCACATGTCACGTCACTTTCACTTTCACTTTCATTATATTAATTAAAAGTGGCATTAACTACATTTATAATGTTACAAAAGTTGTCTATTTCAAATAAATCTTACACTGTCATCTATTGGTCAGACAAACTGATTCTCCTGCCCCAAACTGACACCATCGGCTAATTTATACTTCAGGCCAATTATTGAAATGCAGTCAAGTCTAATAAGACTTCAAAGTCATTAAAAATTCTGTGTAAACACACCATGTGCAAGAAAAAAACTTATTTCAGAAGTTGGCAATGGAATTGCATCGTCTTTTTCCAAATATTTGTTGTTTAGAAGTTTTAAAAGAGGGAATTGTATTTGGAACTGTATGATTCCCATTTTTTGAGTAATTTTGAGTTTTTAATGAACATTTCAGGTTTACAAAAGGAAAACGGATGCAGCCAAGAAAGAGTATCTGAAAGCGTTAGCAGCCTACAGAGCAAATCAACTCTCAAAAGTGAGTGAATTGTTTCTGGTTCGTCCTCTGTGGGTTTTTGATTTCCAGTCTTATTTCTTTCTTTCTTTTCTTTGTTTCTCATCAGTCATCTACTGAGGTGGAGGATAGCGCTCCTTCTACTCCTCCCTCTGTCCCCTGTCCCGCACCCGTCACTTCTGCTCCTGCTGCCCCTGCCCGTCCACGGCTGACGCCCATCCCTGAGCAGAACACCATCACCAACATCTGCGCCTCCAATATCATCCTCGACGGGCCTCAAGTCACCACCCGTTCCCGCACGGGCTCTCTACCCCTGGCCATCAGCCAGCCCCCGACCCCCACTGTCACAAAAATCATCATCTCCAAACAGATGCTGGGAGGTTCTCAGATCCACCAGATCCCCACGTCCATGGTGACGGTGATTCCAGCTGGATTGCGAGCCGTGCAGCCGGCTGCTGCTGGACGACAGCCTCCACCACTGCAGCAGATGCAGGGCACCCCACCGCCACCACGTCTGCAGCAGATGGTACAAACACAAGCCCCGCCTCCGCTTCAGGCCAAGCCCCGTGGAGGGGCAGGAGGCTCTGTGGCTGTCACGGCTACACCACCTCCACCTCTTCAGATAAAGATTGTCCCTGCTTCTTTACACTCCGACCTCTCCACACCGATTATTGTTACTACAGCTACAAGTGCTAATCCTGTTATTGCCTCAACCACCATCTCAGCCTCAGCACATCCCGCCCCTGTTGAGGTGCAAGTTGAAGAGCCCAGAGAGGAGTTGGTCACTGGGATGGATGAGGCTGTGACGGAGGAACCCGAAGAGGTTCGTTTTTCCCTTAATTAAAGGGATAGTCCACCTAAAAATGAAAATTGTCATTAGGCCTGGGCGATAAAACGGTATTGATATTTATCGACGGTACACCTTCTTCGATAACGATAAAAACAAATGTACGATATAGGCTATGAGTGACGCAGACAGCACACACGAACACATGCTGAATTGAGTGCTGTGCCTGCCTGTGATGAGGAGATTGTGAATAAAAAAATGAATATTAGTCGAATTTAAAATAAACATTTGCATTTGAATGTTAGGAGTGCGAGGGAGTGTCATCAGTGGCGCATGATATGCAGTGATAATGATGTAAGTGACGTTGTTGCATTTTAATGTTTTGTCAGTCTAGCCCACGCGATGCGCCGCTGCTGTGTTATGCATTCAAAATATTAGAGAAATATAGAAGCTCAGTGCGGAGAAGATCTTGATAAAGGTTAAAACCGAAACCAAGCCATTCACACAGATGCATTCAGCGCATTTTTTAGATGGATAAATATGACTGTTGCACTCGCGTCCCACACAAGAGATGTATAGAAAGCCATGCGATGTTAAAGCAGTTTAAACTTTTAGAAAACACGTCGCGAATTTGTGGAGGTTTATTCCTTTTCACTGCGTCTCATGTTTTTAAATGCAATCTGCGTGATGGGCAATTTGGCTCTTTGTATTAAGCAATGCATAAATACATGATGCTGTTTTGTTCATAATTGTTTATCTAATTTACTAAATTATATTTGATGTAATGCACGTTTTTTTATAGACAGTTATTTTTTTGCATTGACAATTTAAATGTGCTGCATTATTTTGCTCATTGCGCCCTCCTGTGGCCTCGGGAGACAAGCCAAAAGATTCCTTGAGACCTATTTAATCTGCATATAAAATATTAGAGATGTGATATTTGTTTAAATTTTTTTTTAACTAAATTAAGTTTCACTGTTAAAACTAAAAATATTTGTTGTTTGTCTCAATAAATTGGGCTAATTTAAAAATAGTTAAATTTAAACTTTTTTTCTATTGCTCTGTTTTAAAAAAGGTTATAAAAAATGTCAATAATTATCGATACCGAACGATATGAAACATTATATCGTTGATACATTTTTTAGCTATATCGCCCAGCCCTAATTGACATACGTTGTTTCAAAGCTTTTTCCGAAAGTGTCGTTACCCAACTATGGTTTCCGTGTTTCCTGAAACCATAGTTCAAATGAACATTTGCATATAGCATCGCAAACTTATGTGGTTCCACCACCTGTGCATGATGTCGTCAATGACAGTCCTATACTGTTCAACCAACATGGTTTAAACAACCATTTTACAAGTTTCAGGAAACAGACCCGAGTACATAGTTGGTTAGTTTCTTCAACGATGCTTCACACTATAGTACCTAGTCAGGAAGTTACCCCTGTATGACCTCTGTATCACACCACTGTATGACTTTGTTCTTTAAAATATCATCTGTTATGTTCTAAAGAAGAAAAGTGGTCACCGAAGAGTTTCAGTTCCCACTTCATACAAACTTCTATTGTATGAACCAAAAATACAATGGAAGTCAAAGGCAACTGAGTTTTTATTTTTGGGTGACTATTCTTTTACTATTAAGAGCTACTGTAATTGAACTTATTAGTAACAGCCATAAACGAAAAGATTAAAAGATCAAACACAAGTTATGTTCTTCAGCGATGTTTTATCCGTTCTTTTTCAGATGGAGATGGAGGTAAGTGTTGCTCCTGAGGCCTCCTCTTCAGCTCCTCCTACAAATCTCTGTGTCCGTGCTGGATGTACAAACCCTGCCGTGGAGAGTCGAGACTGGGATAAAGAGTATTGCAGCAATGAATGTGTGGCAACACACTGCAGGTTTGTTTTTTGTGTGCATGTGCTTGTTTAAATTATTTTTTTTATTTGTAAGGTGGTTTTTGTATGGCCAGATTAACATGCTAATTTCGCTATTTACTCTCTTAACAGGGATATTTTCATGGCCTGGTGTTCAATCAAGAGCCAGAACTCAGCCACCGTCAAATAAATGAGAATCCTCCTGTTTCTGGCCCTTAACATGCCTGGATATCTTTTTATGTGAACACAACAGAAGTTTACTGGATTTCTGAGTGAAGGTGTAGTGTTTTTGTTGTAAATAGCTAAGGCATGAAAAAAAAATCACTCCCCAACTTGTTTGTTTTCCACATTGAAATTGTCAGAAAAAGACTTATGTGATTGTAGTACTTTATTTGGACCATATTTGTTTTCCACTCAGTTTTGCTCCAGTGATTTATTTTTTTATGTGTGTTTCTAGTGATTTGTGTTAAAGTGGGACAAAATCCAAACCTTTGTATTATATTCAAATATAGTAGTTTTGATTATGATGAAAAATTTGAGTGTTAGTGAATCTCAAGTCATACAATCATTCTGGAATTCTATTATTTTTTTGTTTAATGCCATTTTCTCATGTTGTACTGACAGTATCTTAGATCAGTGTTCAGAAGTGCTCTCATGTCAAATATTTTTGCCTTAGTTATGGGGTTTTGCTGACTTTTTTTTTTAGATTGTGTTACAGAAATTATTCAAGTGTTAATAAAAGGCAGCCAAAATGGTTTAAGTTTCTGAAGTCATTGTTAACCGACAACTTTGAAATGAAGTGTTTTTAGTCCACTATAAAAGGCGTCTTTGTCTACCGATGACTATTCAAACATATATTCTGATACAATATAGCATAGAAGCCAATATAGTAGAATGAAGTTTTTTTTTAATCTGAAAAAAATATAAACAAGTGCTCTTTTTTTGTTCACAAAACATATTTCTTGTTAAATATTATTCATACTTTTTCTTCCCTTTGAACTAACAAGTTTATATTTTAATATTTTAACATTCACATAGCCATAGTTCTCTCATGTCAGTTAATGGTTACATTACCATTAAACAAAATGCAAGTAATAAAATATTTCCTTTGTGTTTTATTTTGGTTATTTTAAATCAATTGTATTATTTTTTATATTTCTATAAAAGGATGATTTAATTATTAGCATTTCATCAATATTCTTCACGAACCCTCATCTAGATAATCAGTTCAAGTGCAAGGTTACTTTGAAGGAACAAATACAAATGCTTTTTCATCCATCAATCAAAGATCCCAACATTTTTTTCTCCATTGCACTTCTGGAACAATTAGTTGCATTACTCAATAGCAAGAAATTATATATGGTTGCTCCTTTCATCAGCCCAGTAAAAAAATCAGCCCAGTAAACAAAGACAAGGTTGTTTATTCAAAAAGAAACTATATATGTTTGTCAAAGGCTACGAGGATGAGAATGGAAAAACAAAGTATAGTGAAACCATTTCTTTTCAAACTCACAAATCTAAGTTACTACATGTTTGTTTGTTTGTTTTATATCAAACTAAAAACAAGTGATTGACAAAGCATAGCTGGTTAAAAAAACACACAAAAAAACAATTTCAAGTTTATAAAAAAATAAAATAAAAAAAAAATCTCCGGCAATTTAAGATTTAAAGAAAAATGTTTGCTTGGTCCAAACAAAGATATCACATTAAAATGTAAAAAAGCACATTTAAAAGACATAAAAATGGAAAAATGCAAGCAGTAGTGTTACAGCATTTTTTTTTTTTAAATCAGCTTAAAGTGAACAAAGCGTGCTAAGAAAGTGAAGTTTTAAAAATCTCTGTAAAGAACAAATCACTTCAAAAAGGATTACAAAGACATATAAAGCCCTGTGAATCCTGCAGCATCCAATCGTCTCCAGTGTTCAACCACACATTAACCCACTTGAATGGGTCCAGACAAGCAAGTTAAAAGGTTTAGGAATGTTAAGTGTTATGACAGAAAATAAAGTCATTCTTTGAAAAATAAAGAGTTTAAAACCATCCTAGAACTATGATTTTAGTATTTACATCAAGCAAGAATCAGTCATACTTGTATTGGACTGCATGACTGCGCCCTCTAAAGCCCTGTATGTGTTACACTTTACACTTAGGGGCAAGATCCTAATGAAGAATAAAACGTTTGTATAGTATTAGCACAGATACAGTCGGGGGCAGAGATTACAATAGAAGAAAACTGTCCAGAAACATTTGCAACATGACATAACGGAGAAAAAGTGAACACAAAATGAGTTGCCCTGACGTTCTTACTGCCATTGTGTACTATATTTACCGCCTGGATACAGTGGTTCTGATGTGAGGTAGAAATGTGGCCTTTGGTTTAGGTCACACACAACGTTTGTCAGTTATTGAAGAGTTCGAAAGCTAACTGGCGCCGCGTGAGTGAGCCTGTGTTTCTCAAGGTTCTTGTGGATCCTAAAACCCTTCGAGCACAGGTTGCAAATGAAGGGTTTTTCACCTGTGTGAAAGCGCAGATGAGCCTTCAAATTGTTTTTGAGACGGAAGCCTTTCCTGCAGTGCGGGCAGACGTGAGGTCTCTCTCCAGTGTGGAAGCGCTCGTGTCTTCGCAAGCTTTTCCTCAGGGCAAATGTTTTTTTACATTTCCTGCATGAATACGGCTTTTCGCCTGTATGAAATCGCTCGTGCCGCTTCAGGATCTTCTTGCGTTTGAACTTCTTGCCGCAGATCTTGCAGGCATAAGCATGTCCGTGTGCGAGAACACCCTGCAGGCGCCAAATGCCATTCCCGCAATCTTTAAAGCAGCACAGCCGACGTCCCGTATGGACACGCTGATGGGTTCGCAGGTCTTTGGGTGTAGAGAAGCATTTTCTGTTGGAACCGTTTGGCCTTTGCGCACTTGACAGCATCAGGAGATTCACAAGCCGCACAGAGCAAGGCCGTAACAGTTTGCAATCGAAGGGCGTTTGGCTTAGCTGGAAACGCACCTTCTTGGCATTCTCAGCACTGTTACCTGATGCCTGGCTGAATTCAGTGGCCTCCGCTGGGGTTTTGCTGGACTGCGGAGGTTCTGTGAGAGGTGACTTTTCAACAGATGGCAAAGAACTGACTTCCATAAGGCCAAGGTCCCACTGGCTCATAGTGTCGGAAGAAAGGTCTGCACTGGGAATGCTATCTAAAACAGAGCTGAACGGATGAGAATCTGAATCGACTACAGAGTGTGAAGAGGATTCCTCAAGTCCCTGAAGACCTAAAAAGAAAATTTATTAATTCTTTACTATTTTGTGTAAAAAAAAAAATTAATAAAACATTAAATTACAGGAGCATCAAAGGGTTTATTTCCGGATAGAAAAACTACAATTTATGCATTTAACTCATGTAGTTCAGTATAGTTGGTTAGCTTTGTACAGTATAGGGCTGCACGATAAATCGAAATGGAATCGAGATCTCGATTCGACAGAAGCTGCGATTGTCGTGCGTATCTTTCAGTGAAGCACGGTTCTGTGATCAGCAGTAAATCTCCATCCAAAGGCCAGAGGGCGCTCTCACGCTGAAACTCCAAATACGCCTTGCAGAAGAAACCCAGAAAATGCCTATTGCTGCAGCTGAATAAACAGAAGATTCAACTGCTTTCATTGATTCAACGTGCGGCTATGTGTAGTAAATTCTGCTCCATCTGAAAGCACGTGATGATTTCCTGCTGATTACAGAACCGGCATTACTATCAAAATGCGCATGACAATCGCATTCGATTAATCGTGCAGCCCTAGTACAGTAAAACACTTTTAAATATAAATGATTATGAATCAAGCATGTCTGGTTTCCTCATACCATTTTCCTGAATTATCTCTGGTGTCTTTAAGTCATCTGTCCATGGGACTTCATGAATTAAGCCGTCTCCTCCACCAATCCCCTAAAACAGTATACAATACATGTGACTTGGTCAGTAAGGCAAAAGAAACAGAAATTACAAAGTTAACATACTACAACAAATTGCAATATTTTTCAGTTTTTACTCAATGTCATGGTTCCCAAATGGGTTTCGTGAGGGAACTGCAGGAGGTTCATGAGGTTATGAAAAGCTTTTAATAAATTATATTCAATATAGAACAAAAAATAAATAAATGGGATTGCACAATAACCACAATATAGCTTTTACGTTACTTAAATTAAAGTCTTTGACTTAATTATATAACTGTATGGTCTTACGCGCTGCTTGTTTCTGAGTAAAGCACAGGCAAATCGTAATCAAGTGTTTTCAGAGTCTCGGTTCAAATTAAATGCAGTGAACTCTAGCTCTGCATGAAATGCAACATGTGCTAGGTTTACTTTATTTACACACTGCCAACGTAATTTCCAACCTTTTTGTAGTGAGAAGTTTAAAGCATTTCACCAGCATTTTGCCAAAATAAAAGAATGAGAAATATTAAATAACCTCATGGTTTGAATGTTTTAAATTGAAGAATTTAAGACAAATATTAGTCCTGAAAATTGTAGTTTAAAACAAATTATTGTAATTATTATAAAATAAAAATTAATTTTACAGCACCCTTGTCATTTACAACAGTAATGTTCCTGTCTTCATTTTTAGAATTAGCTACAATAATAATAATAATAACAATTAGTAACAATAATAATAATAATAGCAATAATAATTACAAGTGTGAATGTTTGGACTGAGACTCACACCTAAAAAGAGCTTTGAGTCAACTTTAAAGTCCAGTCCAAAAAATATCAAATATTTGATCCATTTACTTGCATGTCATATAACCAATAAATGACACCAGAAAACTGTGAACATGCAAATGTTTTGTAAAAAATATTGATAAATTAATTTACATTTCAGGTTTGAAATCTAAGATGTGTAATGAATATTATTTCATCAAAGTTGAACATTTCATTTAAACCTAATAAGATAAAGTAAAAAATCAGCACCACCTACAGTTTCTTTGAAGATAGTGCATGGAAGGTCAACCATGCATTGCAAATCCACAGCTTCTGGAGACTCTTCGCAGAGAGCTTCAGAGGGAGAAAGCCCCTCCTCTCCTTTGGATTCCTGCAGAAAAATCTTGTCTCTCTCAGTGGACGTGCACTGATCTGAATGGGGTTTGGGGGTGGGAAAGAATACAATATGTTACAATTCAGAAACATGAGAAACCTGGTCTGTGTCAATTACAGTGCTGCTGGCTTTTCTTAAAGCACATTATTTAGAGTTTTAAGAGCACATTGTCCTTTCAAAAATCATTTGAACTTTTGAATTTGAAAGGTGCCTGAGTCTGAGAATCAAGCTCAGCTTTACATGGACAAGGGAATAAAAACAAAAACAAACAGATTTACAAACTTCTCAAAAACTCATATCATGATGATTAATTATTACTCGTTTTAAGAAAGGTCACATGCACAAATGTATTTTTGCATGAAAACTAAGCAATGGTCTGCACAATATAAACGCTGCAAAGATGGACTTTAACCTTGAAATATCAGTCAACAGACTGTTGCAACTACTTTTAAAATATGGCAAACCATTCTAACCTTAAAACTAAACAGTATTTATTTTTATGTTACTTGCTATTTTCAAGCAATCCAATAATGAATAATGCATTTTCAGTTTCAATAAGTAAGTAACTATTTGACAGGAGTACTTATTCCAACAGTGACTTTAATCTATTCATTTAGTTTCATTCATTTACTCATGTCATTCAGTTTAGAGTATAACATGAATCAGCAAATCATATATAGTCCTTATATAGATAGATATTACTAATAATAGATACAGATAGAAAAACGAAGAGATACGTTTGGCTTGAATGAACACACTATATCACAAACCAATACGCATTTACTCACTTCATTGCAGGGTTGCACTAACATTTAGCATACCACTATGCAGAAATGTTACTTAAAATATCAGTTCAGTAGGTCTAATATTTGGTCTAACGAGTAACAAGTAATGAAGTGCTAGGTATTAGGTTGTCTAGCCTAATAAATTGTAACAAAATACCACTGGAATAGAGACTAATAGCAAAAGAAGATGAAAGTTCTATCTAATAAACAGTTACTAGGAAAATTAAACTATACCAGCCACTATAATAATAACAATAATAAGAAAGAAAGAAAGAAATACCAGTGACATAAAATAGACACTAGTTCATTTTAAGGAATATATAATTCAAGGCTTGCCACATAGGATAGACCCTACTTCCGGTCCACTCCTGTTGAATTTAACAAATGTGGAAGTAAAACCCAGCTACACACACAGCTAGAGAAGTGGCTGTTGTTTACGCCGAGAAACATACCCTGATGGTGGGACAGCAGTGTCTCTCCTACTTGCACACCGACGCTACAAACCATCTTGTCAGAGAGATTAGTCAATGCACTTTCCATATGAGCCCTGATGTCAGGGACACACACTAGATTTTCCTTGATCTGAGCTTCTCTATCGACCGTGCAGCCATGGCAATCCAATGCGCGTCCTTTGAAAACTTTCGTTATCTCCACGACGGCCACCTTCAGTAACACCTCCATAACGGCCGCCACCTCGGCTTGAAACCTGGACACGGACTCGGACATTTTGCTCGCGGTCTGAACATGCACAATATTAGTTACAATGTATAAACAAACGGATCGATTGTGCAGTCGTTTGTGGTCATAGCCACATGGCTAAAATGGAAGTAATGGGCGTGTCTGATGACATTCCACAATGACGTATGCACGTACACAGTGGTGGCGCCAAATCCAGACGTCGCTTATGGAATGTTGATCACAAAATTTTGGTGTCGGTTATTTGGTCATTTATTTTAGAATATCCATTGTTTAAAGTTTGTATCTTTATAGAAATGTAGTCCAAACCTTAAGTCTTGTTTGTACTACATACGTGCTGACATAGCAAAACATAACAAAAAATTACTTAGTTATTAAAACTTAAAATTTTTATTCTATTTTTACACTGATGTTTGTAAAAAAAAATTGCTTTTCGGTAAAGCTTTTCGGATATTTCCTTCCATATTGTGACAGCCTACATTCAAATCGTAAAAGAAAGAAATATTAAAGGGGTCATATGATGCTGCTAAAAAGAACATTATTCATCGGTTGTTAATGGGATTTTTAGATGTGGGCGTTGCACTCAAAAATGGAGGCAGATGAAAGCAAGGCGGAGTTTAAGCGGACTACATGATTGGAGTAGTCCAAGAGAGGTTATCATCACTGGAAGATCCAGTTATAACATTTTGATTAAACATCACAAGATAAAAAAAAAAGTCTACAACATGATCCTTTAGAAAATATGGTGTTATCATTTCATGCCAACTTTATGCAGTAAAAACTGCAACCCCATAGAAAATTAATACAAAATAATACAGCTAATATAAAAATTAGTTTGACCTCCTAAAGTTGACTTCCTTTGCTGTCCATTTGTTGAAAAAGTAATGAATGAATGAATAAATATCAATAAAAAGTTTGTTGTACCCTATTTGTGGAAAGTGCCACATTTGGAACAAAGCAAATAAAGTCAGAATAATGAGGCAAAAATAAGAAATCACACAACCACATCACAGAGACACTTTTGCGATATCTATGTGAAATAGTAAACCCTTGTGACCACAGGAGAGAGGCAAAACATATTTTGTACCAAAAGTATCATCTGCTAGGACTCAAGGTTATTATAGTTTTGAATTTTTAAATTCGTTTTATTTTAATATCGTTTTCAAATCTGCTATACAATTCAGTTTAGTTTGTATTAGTTTCATTAATATTGTTGTTAGTTTTAGTTTAGTTTTTATTTTGTGAACACATTTTTATTTAGTTTTTATATAGTTTAGTTTCAGTTTTAATTAAAGGTTAGCAGAATTAACAGATCACTTCCAGAGCGCAGGCCAAAGAAAGACTTAGGCATAATTTAGCCTT